GGGCACGGCCACATTGTCATCATAACGAGAAGGCTTTGTTGCTGTTTGGTATTCAGTCAATCAACAAATATATATTAAGTATCAACTATGTGCCAGAGGGGTGCTAGGCGCTGGACATGCAAAGGCAAAAATGAACCAGCCCCTGCCCTCAACAAGTTTGCATTGTATCTGGGGAGAAAACGTGAGCAAATATGTATATAAAATTAATATGAAGTAATGAGGGTGCACCAGCAACTAGGGATATCATTAAAGGCTTCACTTATGTGGCACTTGAGATGAGTGTCAAAGGAGGTGACTCTTTGTTATACCACAACCAGACCTTAATTTTCCAAAAAGACATTTCCTAGGATGCCCCTCCCAATATTAACATTTCTATAGATTACTATTTGGTGAAAACCCTACCTCTTGATAAAAATATTACCATAGTTTTGTTTGGTAAATTAAAAAAAATAACCAAACTCAAACTAAGTACTTTTGTTTTACTTTGTTTTGGAATTCTATCTTTTATTTCATGATTACTATAAAAATATAAGTAGAGATGGTTTGGGCCCCCAAGAGATTTCCAACAGGAGGAGAAACTGCCCTCTAGTTTTCTCTTTCTAGCCAGCGGTTCTTAACCTTTTTCTAAGTCGTGGCCCACTTTGACTTTCTGGTGAAGTCTATGGATCCTCTTCCAAAATAATATTTTTAAATGCACAAAATAAAATAAACAAGACTACAAACGAAGCATTGTAGTGAATATCATTTGCTATAATTCACTATAAAGATGTAATTTTAAAATCCATGGACCCCTTGGATGCAGATCCCGTCTCTAAGCAGACCTTATGCTTAGAAGGTAATGAATACATTTGTCTTTGGTAGACTTGGGCCAAAACGCAGAGTATTGACTCTTTTTTCCCCCCATATCAGGCCTCAGTTTCTCCATCTATAAAATGAAGAGTTTGGACCAAATATGGCACTTGTGATGTGTAGATGTATATTCTTACGACATTCAAAAAAAATGAGAGGGTTGGACTAGCTGACCTTTGAGGTCAGCTCTAGATCCTGTGCCCAGTAATTGTATTTTGTTTTCCTCAAACTCGGTCTTTCATGCCACTGAAAGGTACTGTTGCTCTGGTTTAACAGGTTTCTACCTCAGCTTTCTTCCAATCTGCTGAGGATTAGAATGTGTGAGCCACTGATACTTTATTCTTGCCTCTGGCTAACTGTCAGAGCTCCAGGCTCCTTAGGGAATACCCCTGAGGAAAGTGCCAACTAATCTGAAAAGGCTGCATTTTCGTTTTTAGACTCCACTGCCCATTCTCAGTAATAACATCAGTTAATTTGACAAATAATGATTTTTTCCAGCTGTCAATGAATAATCAAAGTTCAAGGTAAACAGAAAATGGAAACAGGCATGGTGAGTGTAGGTAGTTTGAAAAATAGTATTAGATTTTCCCCACATACACGCCTAAGTTACTGTGTACATATTACTGCATATATCTATTATGGCATATTTTTGTATGTATAGACAATATATGTGTATTTGTGCATATGTGTATATGTGTATGTATACACACACACACACACACACACTCATCTATACACCTGTTGCTTTGGCCCAAAAGAAAATAGGCTCCTCAAAAGCAGTTGCTGTTTTTTATTTTTGTCTTTGTATTCCTAGCATCTCGAGCAGTTCTGGGACATAACTGGCACTTAATAAGCACTTGTTGGATTGAATTGGTGGTCAAGACCTGTATGTGTTGTTGCAGTTATTTGTCATTCATTGTCGAAGAGAACCATGACATCAGGAAGGGATGCCATGACTTGCAAGTAAATTGGATTTCAATGAAGGAGGGCTGTGCAAAGTCACCAGCCTCACTTTCTCCTCCGGAGCCATCTGGGGCCAGGGGCCAGATATAGATCAGGACGACTGGAGATGGCCCTATACACCATTGGAAATTCCTGGTATGGAAATTCCTTTCTCCCTTCCTTCCCAATACAGATAAGCAACTCTTCCATAACTTAATATAAATATTATTGACTAGGGCAGTGGTTCTCAAACTTTTGGGTCACAAGACCCTTTAATGCTCTTAAAACTTATTGAAGACTCCCCCAAAGAGCTTTTGTTTATTTGGGTTTTATCTTTGCATATTTTTTTTATTAGAAATGAAATATCTTAGTATTATTATGAAAATTGATTTGACCTCAGAGGTTCCTTGGAAGGGTCTCCAAGGACCCTTGGGGGTCCTTGTACCACACTTTAAGAACCTTTGGATTAGGTACCATAGTCACATGGCTAGTAAGTATCTGAGGCAAGATTTGAACTTAGGTCTTCCTAACTATAGGTGTGGCTCTCTATTCACTTTTCCAGTGAGTTTGTCCAGTGAGTATTATCGGGATAATACATAACATCATTTTAAAAAATATTTATTCCCCCCCAATTACATGTAAAAACAATTATTAACATTCTTTTAAAAAATTTTTTGAGTTCCAAATTCTTTCCTTTCCTCCCTTCCTTTCCCCTTCCTTGAGATGGTAAGTAATCTAATATGGGTTATGCATGTACAAAATGATTAACATTATCAAGAAAAAAGTATTTCAATAATAAAGTGAATTATACTTAGAGACAAGTGAATCTTTATTACTGTAATTACAGGAGAGGGTGACTGAAATTTAGGCTTACAATTTTCTCCCCACAGAATGTTTGATGTAGAGGTTTTTATATCGTATACAAAGGAACAAAATGTTTTTTACTTAAGACAATTTAGAGATGATAGAAAAAAAAACTACACATAGAGTATTAACAGAGGAAAGGAACATCAAAGAAAGTGCTGCTGTCCAATTTCTCTGAATTATTTACATTCTTGTTATCAGCAAGGTCTGCCATTATTAGGACAAAGATCTCCCTAAGATTAAATTAATGTTGTGGATTCCTGGGGTCACCTGCTGCCTCCTCAAGGTGAAGCTTATTACTCAATTAAAATTTAGAGCTTTTCCCTTTCCTTATCTGCATGAGCAGAACTAGTACTGCAAGAACACCAAAACTGCATTGTTAGAGGTATGAATGGATTTTAAATGGTATTGGTGAAGAGAATACTTACAGATCCATCGAAGTATTAAAGTAAATGGATCTGAAATTAATATATTGGCCTTTCCATTGACAAACATCTGAAATTAGAGGAGACTACCAGGTTGCAGGGAGGAGAGCACTTTGTAAATCCTGAGAGCTATTATTATTATTATTTTTAAAAGAGCTGTGATTTCAGCAATAAGGAGAATCCCAACTATGGAAATTTCTTCCACCAAGAGGGATTAGTCATTTGTCAGTTGTTTCTGACTCTTCATGACCCCATTTGGGGTTTTTTTGGCAAGGATGCTGGAATGGTTTGCCATTTCCTTCTCCAGTTCATTTGACAGATGAGGACACTGAGGCAAACAGGGTTAAGTGACTTGCCTAGAATCACACTGCTAGTAAATGTCTGAGGCCAGATTTGAACTTAGGAAGACGAGTCTTCCTGACTACAGCCTCAGCACTCTATCTACTGTGCCACCTAGCTTCCCTTATCCCCTGCCCATGACAGTAAATATTCCTAGTGAGTTGCCTGGCTTCTGACTAAGGTCCCTTTGGCAGGAGTCAGGGCAGTATAGCAGAAACAGCCCTGGCTTTGCAATCAGAGGACCTGAGTTCAAATCCTAGCTCTGCCATGTAGGACATGTATGACCTAGGGCTAGTCACTTAATTTCTGTAGGCCTCAGTTCCTCATCTGTAAAATTAGATAGCATTCTAAGGTCCCTTTGGACTCTAAATCTATGTTGGTAAATTCAGAATTTCTTGTACTATATGACACTATCAGAAGATCAACATGGCATACTGCAGATAGCTGTTTTCAAGTCCCACTTTTTTTTTTTTAGGCAATTGAGGTTAAGTGACTTGCCCAGGGTCACACAGCTAGTAAGTGTCAAGTGTTTGGTCTGAGGCCGGATTTAAACTCAGGTCCTCCTGACTTCAGGGCCAGTGCTCTATTCACTGCGCCACCTAGCTGCCCCCAAGTCCCACTTCTGACATATATTAGCTGGAAAGACCTGGGCTTAAAACTTGCTCCTGACACTTCAAAGTGTGCTTGACTCATCTCCCTTTGGCCTGCAAAGTCCATGAGGACAAGGACCATATCTTTGTCCTTTATCCTGTCTAGCACGGTGTCCTGAGCATGGAGATTTGGATTCAGCTGGTTAGGAGTTTCTGCTCATGAGAATGGGGTAGGCCTGCCTTCGGTGCATCATCCAGGAAAATGAATAGCACATACATAGGGAATATTTAGTCTACTTGAGAGTGAAGGCCAAAAAAATTATTTTCAGTTTTACTTTAGCAGCATTATTTGTGTTCAAAAAATAAACGCGCTAAATCCAAGTGTTTCTTACTAATTTCTTAAAGCACAAAGATTTCTTGAGTCATGTCATCATGATACAGCCATTAGTGTATCGTGTGAGTTGTCCTTCGTTCTCAAAGAGGACCATGACGTCAGGAAGATGACGCCATGACTTGCAAGTGAATTAGATTTGA